CAATGCTTTGAAGATGAACGATCCTTCTCACTTCATTTTCACATTGAATGTTGCGAGGATCAAAATGAGACAAGGTGGGAACAACCCATGTCAGCTCTTTCCGTTCTTCTGGAACGGTCTTTTCTCCCCCTAACAACGGGAAAATTGTCTCATCAAAATGACAATCAGCAAAACGAGCTGTAAACATATCACCTGTCAAGGGTTCCAAATATCTAATGATAGATGGTGAATCAAAACCCACGTAAATTCCCAGTCTACGCTGAGGTCCCATTTTAGTGCGTTGCAGCGGTGCAATAGGCACATAAACAGCACAACCAAAAACTCGTAAATGGGAAATGTTTGGCTGATGTCCAAACACGAGTTGTACTGAAGAGTATTGATGGTTGGCTATAGGTCTCAATCGAACCAATGATGCAGCATGTAGGATGGCATGTCCCCATGCAGAGACTGGCAATTTGGTTTTCATGAGCAGAGTGCGAGCTATTAACTGAAGCCGCTTAATCAATGCTTCTGCTAAACCATTTTGAGTATGGACATGAGGAACAGGGTGTTCAACATCAATGCCCAATGTCATGCAATAATCATCAAAGGTTTGAGACGTAAATTCACCAGCATTATCAAGTCGGATTGACTTAATAGGATAATCTGGGAACTGTGCTCTTAACTTAATTATTTGAGCAAGTAGTCTCGCAAAGGCTACATTCCGAGTAGACAAGAGACAAATATGTGACCATCGGGTAGATGCATCAACCAAAACCATAAAATATCGAAATGGTCCACATGATGGTTGAATAGGCCCACAAATATCCCCTTGAATTCTTTGCAGAAATGATGGGGATTCAGCATCAACCTTTAGTTGAGATGGTCTAATTACCAACTTCCCTTGAGAACAAGCTTTGCAAGGGTTATCATTTGAGGCAGCAATGTGTCTGCTCACTAATGGATGTCCATTAGAGTTGGTAATGATCCTACGCATCATGGTAGATCCTGGATGACCCAGACGGTCATGCCAAAGCATGTAAATCTTTGAATCAATGAACTTCTGGTTCATGACAGTATGTGATTCAATTGTCCTTATGTATGTATAATATAATCCACTCGACATACCGTGCAACTTCTCTAATATACGCTTCTGGGTATCATTGGAGGTAATGCATAGATACTCCACATTTTCTGCACTTTTTGTTTCAATGTGGTATCCATTTAGACGTATGTCTTTGAAACTCAACAAATTTCGAGTAGATCGAGTAGCATACAATGCATTATGTATGGACAATATTGTTCCATTTGGTAACATAATCTGGGCTTGCCCTGAACCTTGAATTACATCTGAAGGTCCTGATATTGTTGTTACCCCTACTCTTGTAAGTTTTAAGCTTGAGAAATACTTTCGATCACGAAGTATTGTATGTGTGGTTGCACTGTCTGCAAGACAAATATCTCCACCATTTCTCATGTTCTGAGAATAACCACAGTTTTTATCCATGCTCTCTGAGTAAGAGAATCAGAATTAAAAGCAAGTTATAACAAGAAAATTTACATGCCACTTTTATTGAATATGAGAATACTACAAGTTCAGCATAATAAAAGTACATTAATGATTCAATCGGACCGATATACTTCATTTCCCCTTTCTACAATATAGTCTGAAACATCTAGATGAGTTGTGTTCAACTGCCCTGATAAGTCAAACACTGGATCAGGTATATCCATTGGTCTAGCCTGGTCGAGAAAGTTAGTCTCGACACCCTTCTCCTTGAGGGAGGCTTGATACAGATCCACTAGATGTTTTGGGGTACGACAAGTACGCGCCCAATGCCCATTGCCACCACACCTATGGCAGGCTCCTTCAGAGTTTCTAGGAGCATTGTTCATATGAGCTTTGCCTTTGTGGCGATTCACATTTTTGAAGCTCAGGCCTGAATTATTCCTGGGAACCTGGTTATGAAACTGAACTCCATGGTTCTTGCCTTTCCTATTCCATCGACCTCGCTTGTGGCCACGTCCTCGTTTATGATTATCACCACCAGAGGATGTGGTGTTCACTCCGAGGGAAGCAGCATTCACTTCTGGGAATGGTGCAGATCCAGTAGGTCGGGAATGATGGTTTTTCATCAGGAGCTCATCATTCTGTTCAGCTACTAAGAGCACAGATATCAGCTGGTTGTACTCAGTGTAGCCTCGCGCTCTATACTGCTGCTGCAGGAGCACGTTGGAGGCATGAAATGTGCTGAGAGTCTTTTCCAGCATATGCTCCTCAGTAATAATATCCCCACAGAGCTTCATCTGAGAGGTAATTCTGAACAATGCAGAATTGTATTCTGCCACTGACTTGAAGTCTTGAATCCTTAGATGAGTCCACTCATAGCGAGCCCTTGGAAGAATCACCGTTGTCTGGTGATTGTATCTGCTTCTCAAGGCATTCCAGAGAGCTAACGGATCTTCAACCGTTAAGTACTCGCTCTTTAGCGCCTCATCAAGATGGCGGCGAATGAAAATCATGGCCTTTGCCCGATCTTGAGAGGATGAGTTGCTCTCTTCCCTGATGGTATCTCCAAGATTCCCTGCTTCTAGATGGATCTTGGTATCTAGTACCCAGGTCAGATAATTCTTCCCGGTAATATCCAGGGCAGCAAATTCAAGCTTCGCCAAGTTCGCCATTTTCTTTTCTGAAAGAAAATGAGATGTGTAAGAACTTGCAATAATATGTATTCCTGGAGGAATATGATGTTAGAACTTCTGGTTCTTACAAATTTTTCATTTTGATCTTCAGGCCAAAATGATAAGCACTCGAAACTTCTGGCTCGAGATTTTCAGGGTGAATGAGGAGGGCGATCGTGCCGCACCATTCTCATTGAAATAATGTAATATAGAATGGGCGATTATTCCGCACCACTCAAGTAACAGGAAAATTAAATATGCAGAGCAGCGTAGGCGATTATACCGCACCACATAAAATTGCAATGAAATTAAACAGCAGGTAAATTCGAATATGCAGGGTAAGGTGTGCGATTATACCGCTCCACCTAAAAATTGCAGTAAAATTAAATCTGCAGTCCAAGATAGGCGATGATACCGCACCGTCTTGGATCGCAGTAAGATTAAATTTGCAGTTCAAGATGGGCGATTGTACCGCACCATTTTGGATTGCAGTAGAATTAACACAAATAAATACTAGGTTAGTAATCAATCTCTACACCAAACAAGTAATCAAAGATGTATGTAACCGTTAGTTGGAGAACTATGAGCAGGCATGGAGCAAACAACTCGTCGCGAGGGTACACGGCGCAGTTGAGGCAGAGGAAGAAGATGAACAGTAAAAACCTTAAAGGAAACATTTTTTTTTTCTTTCTTTCGTTCGTTCGGCGAAGAGAGATGAGAGAATAAATATATTTAGAGACTCGTGCTGATAACGTGTTATAAAAGGGTTAAAGTTTGAGAGATAACCTTTTAAGTGGTAGGTGCAAGGTAGATGTAAAATGCCACACAAAAACTATAGCACAGACAGATAATAAAAGGCAGAGGAATATATGATGTTATTGATATTTCTCTCTTGTATTTCTTCTTCATCTATCATCTGTTACATGCGAGTGCTCTATTTATAGAGCAACTCGAACTGATGCAGTTAATGCATCTTGAAATTTAAAATGTGCCTCTGACACTTTCATTCAGCATGGGCATTGAAAACTTTGCCCATGCAGATGACTTTAGCTTTGTGGGTGCAGATGACTTTAGCTTTGTGGGCATTCATTGCCAACAGAAGTTTGAGACTTTTCAACATTTTTTTTATTTTAGATTTCATTTACGGTTTCTCATACATTTCTTTTACCTCTCTTCTCTTGCCATCTTCTTTAGCTCTTCTATATCCCTTATTTTTAACATGTGTGTGCGTGTGATGCAAAAAGGAAATGAAAATCAAACGAGCTTAACTTCGTTCAATATCAACAATACCCTAAATCAAACAGAAATAGGTTTTCCAAACCTAAGGCTAGTACTACATTTTCCAATATGAAAATTATGAATCTGATCAAATGAAACGACAACTCACTGTATGTGCATTTAAAAAAAAAAAAAGATAATAATTATCTGAGCTCTCTCTCTCTCTCTCTCTCTCAGAGTCAAAGACGGGTGAAACATGCAAGAGCGTCTGCATCATCTATATATCTTATGAATAGTGGCATCTCTCTCTCTCTCTCTCTACCTTGTGTTGCTTTAGTCATGACAGCTCGAATACAGTACTGATAAGCTGGCTGTAAAATTATAAACAGCCAAACATATTGATGAGTATTAACCTATGGTCCCCCGGGTGGATTCCCAGATGCATGAATATCACATTCACTGTTCTAAAAATCCTCACCTAGTGCCGCCTAGTCGCTTGGCAGCTAGTTAATTACCGCCCCGATTAATGCCTAGGCGTTTGAAAATTAAGAAATGGTGCCTAAACTTGCTGAGGAACCCGCCTAGACCGCCTAGACACCTGCCTAGCCTGTCCAGACCCGCCTAGGTTGCGACTGACTTAGACAAAAAATAGATAACTTTCATTATGCATTTTTATTTTTTTTTCAATAGATTGTAAGAGACTTGTTGTAGACTTAAATGAACACACAATATATGCTTGTTTACTATGTTTTCACTATGGTCCAATACTTCATAATATATATGTCATTCTATTTTATATTTATGATGAAATTGTTTATATTTTAAGTATAAACTGACATTATTTACACGAAATATAATAGATTTACACAAATTCGCCTAGTCCACCTAGGCTGTCTAGGTCCTGCCTAGGCACTAGACCCTAACTCGCCGCCTGACTGGTGCCTAGCGTCTTTTAGAACCTTGATCACATTGGTTAATTTTTTTTGGTCCTTCCACCAAGAGAGAGAGAGAGAGAGAGTATGCTTTGTAATCCAACAAACGCATATTTAACTGTTTACTTAAAAGATTAAAATATGTTCAACCTGAACGAATCACAGGAGTAGCATTTGCTTCTTAGACAGTTAGGGAAAATCAATTTAAACACGTAGTTATAGCTAGTAAACAAAAAGTGAGGTTCTAAAGAGGTTTCCTAGCTACAGGATCAGGAGACTTCATCAACCTCAATATGTTCAAGTAATTGCATCATACATACATACATACATACATACATACATACACATAGAGGGAGAGAAGCCTGCAGGTACTTCTCACGGGAGGGGGTATTTTTTGTATACCAGTTTGTTTTAGTACAAGCCATCAGACTTTTAAGTTCCCTTTCCTGCAAAAGTCTGGTCTAGCTTTGGTTGCTTGTCGGCATCCAGCTTTAATCCAAAGTGAATGTGGGGAAAGTGTGCCCACTGCAACACAAACGACCATTTTCTCAGTTGATATATATAGGTTTTATTCTGACTAGCACATTCACATTGTATCATAAATGTAGTCTCTCTAATTACCCTTAATACTGCACGTAATTCCATACTTTACATCGTTTAATAAAAATGCACATAATTCATACTGCAGACTCTATTAAAATAGTGTGATACTTTGTACAATGAGGATGCCTGCAATTTGTGCTCATGTTTATAAATCAAATTATTTGGTGACCTTTATACTACTACTATCTTGCTTCGATATCTTATTAATTAAAGGGAGAAAAAGTGAAATTAATTGGTATAATGGTATATAATGTAGCTGCATATGTCTGAAAGATTGTAAGCTGTTGGAACTTAATTAGAACATATATCTGCATATTGATGGTCACTCAATCCTACTTCAATATTGATAAATGAAAGTATGAGCCTAAACCACTGGGGTTAGTCTAGTGTTGAGGGTGGATTGGAGTAAGCTAGGTCAAGGGTTCGAAACCTTCCAATGTAACCAAAAAAGTATGTATGATAAGCTAAAAGAACATATCAATATTAATTGTAGAAGCAAGTCTAAGTCCTAAACCCTAATACATATATAATCAAGTTGAAGGTGATGCTCAGAACGCCATTCATGCGGTGTGGCAAGAAGGACTTTAACTTCTATATCCTGGTTGAGGACAATGAGAAGGCTAAAGCTGTGCTTAAATATTTTTTTTTTTTGATTTAGAGACCTTTCCTTTTGTCCTAGAGAAGGTAATAATGAATAGCTTATTCCATTACTAGAGCCGCACTTTCTTCAGATCATCCTTTATTTGAAGTTGAGCCACCAAGCTCTCTACATTTATTAAGTCTGAGTTGAATGTACTTTTATCTTCGAGTCATGAGTAATTTCCATATGAAAAAAAAACCCAAAAACAGAATGAAACTTTTACAAAATGTCTCAATGCAATTTTAAGGCGAGCTACCGGCCACTTAATGTAATGGATATTTACTTCTCCAATATGGGGACACTTGTGTTAATAAACAATTGCTAAAATCTTGTCCTTTGGATGTACTACTGATCCAAATCTTGTACATATAAATAACATTAACCTAACTTTTAATCAAAATAATCATTAACCGTGCTTCTTGCTACCTTAACCATCAAGGAAATTTGCAGTCTTGACTTCACACACTTAATTTGTTATTAATCGTCAGGACTCAGATGCTAATTGCTGAAAGGCAATCCACATAAAATCCAATCTCCATACTTGTTTTGTATATGTTACTATCATAAATAAAGTTCACATGCAGTTTTGCATAAGTATACTTATAATCTTCAAATTGCAAAAGTCCATGGATAAGTTATTTTGAGAGCTTGATCTTTTATTATCTTGCTGAGCTGATTTTACCTTTGGCCTTTTATAGAATTAATTAAGTTAAATTAACAAAAGGGAATTGTTATTGGTATATCAATATACATTTTACACTCCAAACTTTCTATAATTAGATAGAAAAATGCACTTGTGAAGTGTATAACAAGATTTTTGAAGTGCCAAAAACAGTTGCAAAAAAAGAAAAAAAAAATTCAATCATTTGTTAACAGAATTTGTATGTTGATCGACCTTAATTTCCTTTTGTTAGTATTAGTGATAGTTTCGACTATTTAAGGCTAGGAGGAGAAACTTATATGAAACTGGAAGAATCCCTACTTTCATAACTTCAAATATTACCAGTACTAACAATTTGAATATAGTGGGAAATCACTAACATTCCCCACGCGACGCAAGTCTTCTCTACTTTGTCTTTTGAAGTTTGTATAGTACTAATCAGCTTATGTCTAAATTCTGCATTATACTTTCATTAAATTGCTTTTCAACAAAACTCTAAATCCTAAACTCAAAATACATAACCCTTAAATCCAGAAACAAGTAGTTCTTTTTTGTATAAGCATGATAAAAGCAAACACAAATAGAGGATCCTATTTTTCCAAGGACTTGTCAAACCGTGAGTTTCCTCTTTAACCTCGGGGTCATTTTTAGGTCACAAAATACTTTTAATATAGACTATTGGGTCAATCATATTGTAAGATGTCGATGAAGTGAAATTTTAACAAGTCATATTGAACTTAGTTGGACAGGAATATTGTTTCAATTACTAGAAAATGAAATGAGCATCAACCTATGCTGAAATATGAAATTATTTATTGACCTATTAAACTTTTAAAACTTTTTTTGAAGCTTTCGTCTATATGAAGTAAGATTTTAATATTCCCCGTTTCTATATATATGTTCATGTATTCAACCACCCAAGTGATGAAACCAAAACATTCATTTATATTTTATAATAACAAAGTGTGAAATTTTAGGCATGTTTAGCAACCTTTTCGAGTTTCGGTACATAACCTGTAGGTTGTTCTTTGATTGGTTGGTCATACCATATTTGCACACTCCTGTATGATTAGTATTTTTTTCGACAGAATTTTCTTGAAAGTTCTCAATTATTATGATATATTGTATGACTGTTAAGTTATTTTCAAGAGCCATATATTAGTAGAGGTGTGCTATCCACACACTCCTTTTACTTCTCACACACTCCTTGTTAATTTCAGTCCTTTGATCTTCTTCGATTCATCCGATCTGACGGCCAAAAATTTGAAGGGTATATGAGAAGTAAAAAGGGGTGTGTGGATAGCACACCCTTATTATCATGATGTAGGCCAAAGATTGATTTATATTCTTATAGATGAAATACTTACATCGGTTCTCGATCGGGAAGAAAATCAAATCATCCCTTACTATAATGTAGTATGGATCAACTTGTTGGTTCAAATATATACTACCAAATTATAACTTGATAGTCCTACCATATCATAATGAGCTAATAGGCCTCCCATATGAAATATGAAAATTTTGAGAAACATGATGGCTGCTATGTTATCAACTCGTAACTTACATTTTTAGCTGCCTTGCTAAAAGCTTCCCTATGACTAATGTCAGGGTTACTAGCTTTAATCCTTTGGATCTCCTCCCTGCAGAGACAGAGAGAGATTAAATTAATTATCTTATCAGTATTTCATCTTCAAGGGTAATTTCATCTCCTAATAATAATATTACCATCATCGATAACTTGTAGCAACAAAATGTGTGACAAAAACAACGATTAAAAGTAAACTTACTTGATAAACCTGTTATATGCTGAGGGAACCCGCTGTCTTTTCTCTGGTGCTATCATATATGTATGCAAAAACAATTAGTTTGAAGAAATTTGTTTTATTTTGAGAATATAATACATTGTGCAAATGCTTCCCATGAAACCAGTAGGCAGTGGGCGGTAGGACAAAATTACATCATTCGATCGAGCTAGCTAGCTAAAATACTTTGCACCTCGTTCCAATGATATATAGCTAGATTCCACACTTCAAAAGTGCAACCTATTAATTTATTTTCTGAAATAGTTATTGTATTAAAATGTGAAAGTATTAATCCTCGTGAGCACAGTTTCTAGGACGTTGCTATCCATTAATTTACGGGTACTGAAATCTGCTATGAAAGGTCACCATCCTCGATGGCCCATGAGGAGGTGAGGACAAATCCCTAATTGAGCACTTGTAAATGGTGTTTGCATGAAGCTTTTATATTCAAACTAAATGGTTTTAGATATTTTTTTTCTTATACAATTGATATTTCTATTTGAAACCAAGTTTAAATTGCACATAGAGAACTCGACTCGGTTGTACAGGATGGACCACATTCAACTAACCTAAATAAATGATATTAGAACATGATCACTTTGAAGTATATTGGGTGATTTTGCCTTGTTATTTACTTTTTTTCCAATTGTGTGGAGATGTAAGTTGTTCAAAGCTATCACAAGATAATTTATTAACCTAAGTAGTTGGTTTTGCAATTAACATTTGGTATGAGACATTAAGTGTTAGACGAGGGGGTAAGAGATTTTTCAACGTATCCGGAATATGACGCAATACGTACGTCATATTTTATTATACAAGTGGAGGAAAGATTTTTATTTTTTATTTTTTATTTTTTCAAGTGTCCCTTTCACTTTTATAATTAATGACATATAGCTTAAGTGCTTGTATTATGCTCACACTGAAAAATTGTTTATTCAATTTGAGAGAGAGAGAGAGAGAGGGAGAGAGAGACTCACGGGGTATGGGAGAGACTCTAGGTTGTTCATGAAGCTCTAGAGACTCAAATGCATGACCAAACTTGTTGGATTTGGATGATGATGACGACGAGGACGACGATCCGCGGTTTTTATTTGAATCCTCGGAGCTCAGGTGTTGTTTCGGTAACTTTCGTTAATAAATTATTAACCAAAATATAATTAAATTACATTAATATATATCAGTCAAATCACAGTTGGCTCGAAAAGAACTTGAATTCAGATTTCAGAGACACACTCAACACGGAAATACATAATATCGAGTTGGCAATGATTGAATAATCACTGCTCGATCTTTAATACTTCTTGAAAAACTAAAAATCACTGTGTCTAATCCTTAACTTATCATGAATAAATTCACTCCCACACTTGCACATAAAACTACCTTGTTCACATACACCCCAATCAAATTCCATGTTGAAATGTAGGGAATCCGAGTCAGAAAAAATATTGTATAATGTTATCTAAGAAAAGGAGAGCAAAATGCACATATTTGTAATTTTCTTACAAACAATAGTACTAGTCTAATTTATACTAAAAGAATTATAGGGTTTGAACTTCGAGTGCACGGCAATCCATCATTTGCAGAGAAAAATAAACATACATTTAAATTAATAATTAATGTATGAGTACCTGAGGATTTTGAGGAGGAATGGTAGTCGAATGAAGGGAACCTCCGGTATTAACAGAGAGCAGATTGGCACAATGCCCACATCTCACCGTCACCATATTCAGTAAACTGTTGCATGGAACACTCACCTGCACTATTCGATTCAGTTATCGATACGTATATAATGTAGGAGGTACAGTAAATTATTACCTAAATGCTTAATTTATTCTTCTTAAAAGAAAAATAAAAGTAACCAGTATACTACTAATAAATGTGAGATTCTAGCTAGGTTAACTTAGTTAATGCTTAATATCATGTTGATTGATTTCTAGTTTAATTTGTTGGCACCTGAATCTTTATTTCTTGCTCTCTCGCGCACATGCACTCAAAGGCGTTAATGTAACCATCATATGATCGTAACTAAACCCTATTGACCAAACAAAAAATCAAACATAACACAGAAACAAATCCTGTATGAGAAAAAACCAGATTGCATTTATAGTCATATCATGATCTCATTATGAAGAACTCTTATCAATTGAAAACAGCGATACATAGGACACGCATCAGCGATATGAGGTATGAGGATGAATAATCCAGTTATAAAGAAGAAGATGATGATCAGAAGGATAAGAAGAACAAGGAGAAGGATGAAATGCCCAAATGCATCTGAAAACCTGTTTTCTCAAATTAACAAAGTACGTGCGCAGAATTGATCTCAAACCACACATGAGAAAATAGCTGCAAGGTCTCTTGGCCCCCTTCATTTAATTACCTAAGAGTTAAGACACACACACATAAACCATCTCTCTCTCTCTCTGACTGATTTACACGCAGACACACAGAAACTCACACGCGCACATAGAGATGCTATTCTTTTTCTTTTTTTCCTTTCGGTGCCCCTTCTGGCTTTTCTGCCTGACACACCCGCAAGGAAGATGATAAAAGATATAAAGAAATATTTCAGTGTATCAACACAGAGAGAAAGAGAGAGAGAGAGAGGACGAAAGAAAGCGACTTGACGGGAACGGAAACCATTAAAGGCCATGACCAGCAGGATTATCCACTCAGTCTTCTTCACTATCAAACATAACTACTCATGATTAAAGGAAGAGGCCGAATCATCATCATCATCGACTACACTAATTTAACCACTATACATTCTGCAGTGAACTCTCCAGTGTTTAAAATCGTCATTTTCCGTATATATATTTTCTCAAAAATCACAATACATAGAGTTCAGAAAGGAAAAAGAAAAAAAAGGAAATAATTTTAAAAGGGCTTATTTATCAGAGGCACCCTATGATGAAACAAAGAAGAAACAAGAAGCACTATTTGCTGCTTTGGCGCTATCTCTCTCTCGCCCTCACTCCGTTCCTCAGACTATATTCACAGGTGTTTGTAAAGAGTAAGGAAAAGGTAAGGAAAAGGCGCCTTCTGTACTACATTGGTATTCAGAACCTGAAATATGTAACAACTGGATCACATTTATTCATCGAGAGAGAGAGAGAGAGAGAGAGAGAGAGAGAGAGAGATTATAAGTAAGGAGTAGGAATGTGCACAAAGTTGGGCATATATAGCTTGGGATCTGAAACTTCAACTCTAGCTAATAACCTAGCTACTTGTTGCCCTAGTTCATGGCCATGAGAATCCCGCAGCGGAAAACATTCAGGAGATTTGTTTGCTATCTTTAGCCGGAAGCAATCTTCCCTCACTTTTGTTATTGTTATAAATCCACCTAACTCTTTATGGGGTCGATTGGAATTCTACAACTACTGGTCGATCTTGACGTTCATAAAATGATTTTTTCATTTTTTATTATTTTCATGTACTTGGAGGCCTGCAGGCCAAAACCCAGGTAGATTTCTTCATAAAATATAAGGTAGGAGACAGATTCTTTGATCAATTCCATATGAATCACAAGAATTCGCAATTCTTGGCGTCAATTCGAGTACTTAAACTTTAACCAGAAAAGGGCATTTTAAGTAGTCGGTTAAGGGCCAAAATTGTTCTATATATTCACAAAAACCCCATTATATATTCTTCTGCACCTTAAGTAAGTTTTTATTTTCGGTTGGATAGAGGGACATACGAATCAAATTCATTCTTGATCTGAAAGCTAAAATAACGAAAGCCCGGGTATTGGTCAATTCAGCTGTTAAAATACATGGCACAAATAAACCTTAGAAATGAATAATTAAGGACATGACTGAGAGAGAGAGAGAGAGAGAGAGAGAGAGAGAGAGATACCGCTAAAATGGTGTTGCAGAAGTTGCAGTGAACATAACAAACACGTTCAGATGCCATCAAATCCATTGACATAATATTTCAAAGCTTAAATTGTAATATATATCCTGATCAGGTAGTATTTCTTGAGAGAGAAAGGCTAAGGTGTGAAAACAGAAAAAGAGAAACAAAATATAATTTGTGATTAAAGAAATAAAAAATGTACAGAGAACGAACACAAAGACAAAAGATGAGAAAAGAAAGAACTTTTTATGAGAGAGAGAGAGAGAGAGAGAGAGAGAGAGAGGATGGGACTAGTCTGGTCGGAGTGAAGTGGGAATGGATGTAAAATGTAAGTAGTGGTTTTTGTAATAAGAATATATAAAAGGTGGTTTTATGGGAACGGTTGTTTGTGGATCATTTTAGAGAGAGAGAGAGAGAGAGAGAGAGAGAGAGAGAGAGAGGTGGTGATGGTGGGGTTGGGTGTGTTATGATTGAGGGAATGAGTGGGTCGGAGTGACCCATCTCGTAACCCTCCTGTTGCCTTTCTGTAGCGGATGAGGGGGGCGCGAACGAGATATTTATGCTTGGAATGTTTAGGGAAGAGAAGAAAAAGAGAAAAAAGTTAAGAAAAAGAGATCTTATTATTGGGATGAGATGAATGACAAAGATAGGGACGAGCTTATGGGAATGAAATGAAAGAAATATAGAAGTTTTGAGCATTGTTGTTAACATTCTAGAATTTTTAATTTGCGTTTTAAATTTTTTATATTTAGAAAAAATAATACATTTATGTGGAGTGCTAATAACAGTTTCTGAAGTTTTTATTTGTGCTAATAAAATACGACATGTATTAGTTTTATTGACACGAAACAATATACTTGTACCGTATAGTTAGTTGTAATCCGAAAGATGTGCTTACAATGTATGTCATGTATTTGTATTTTGTGTGTCTGTCAAGTGTCCAAGCTGGAGAGAGTGAAGGTGCTTTGCCTTGTTACTCATTTCTCCTTGTTATTTCTTGTTTTCAATTTTTTTTCCATGCATGTTCAATATTTATATTATTTTCATTTTTGATTGATTTTGTTAGAGGGAAAATGTCTTTTGTCTCTTACTTCGACATGACATTTATTTGTTGCATCCTAACCTACTTTTGATTCTATGTTGTGAATGAAGCTTTAACCGCACAAAACCTAATTTTTGTTTTTGGGAAATAAGACCTTTTTTTGTTTGTCGGAAACTAGAAATTCCCATTAAATTCCGAGATTAATGTTTGCATCCTTTGCTAAAATGTTAAGTAATCCTTTTAGACCAAATTGATCTCACTGATACTACCAACCATGCATATACACATATGATGTTACAACATGCGCAACCTCTGTTAAAGAATTATATTTTTGTTAATTACATTCATAGCTTGGATAAATTGTACTCGGGGATTCCATGATACAATTGTGGAGTAATAGATAATTCAGAAAATTCTGGAGCTGATACGTAGACTTTTATACTTGATTGGCGAGAATGCCCTAGTGATGCTCATATTCGTTCCACACGCAGTACAACCACCAAGAAGACCTGAGCTGTTAACCACAACTTGTCCAAGCTCCTATGCTCATGGCAAGTAGACAAGGCAAGGGAATTATAGGTAAAATTAATAACTAATTCCTACCCTTACGCTTTCATCTTTAAAAACATATTCTTTCAAAACAAGGAAGCTCAATCTCATCCAATCAAGGATTCTCCAAGATAATCCTTATAATTTTTCTTGTAGCATTATAAATAGGGACGTGTAAGACCTCGTACTTTACTACACGACTTGTTTTACTGTTTTTGACATGTGCTTTAGTCTTCATCTAATACATTGATCATTGCCTTATGTATGAAAGATTTTTTCGTGTAACCAAAATACAAGACAATACAACACTTGTCATAATACAATTAGAGAGATGATATATTTGTTAAGTGTTCCTCCATTATATTATCACATGTGCTATATTGGCTTATGTTTTTCCAAGTATGTACATTGAAAAATTTCTCATCATGCATGTACGAATGTACCCAATTGACTAGAATATATCTCTTAGTCAATCGATTTATATAAAAGAAGAACCCCAAGGTATTGCTTTTCTAAAATAGTAATGCTAGGTAGACCAAAATTTTAAACTAACTTTGCAAACCAAATTATGTGTAACCAATAGGAAATAAGCATGTTAATCAACACTTAAGTAATAATCTAATCATCAACAACCACATCATTTGGTTTACAAAACTTGGTTCAAAAAATTGATCTCCTTAACATTACATTTTCTAAACTTTATCATGCGCCGTCATTGTGGGACCATGATTTTCTAGAGTCGGAGTAAGGCTGATTCAAATATCGTTACCTCAGAAGTCCAATTATGGACTCACTAGCCCCAAGCGCAGCTGGATCAGACTGGGCAATGGTGCCACCATCAACCTGTTTCAAGGTAACAGGCGAAGTCTAAGCGACTCCGCTGGATGACCATGCTTGTTCCACAAGACATAATATTTGATCTGAATATGGACACAATCAGATTTCTCATAAGTCTTAGAGGTCTTACAATCTACGAATTGGCATGCGACGAAGGTAATTACAACTTCTAAAAGAGTGCAATATCTATTTCTAGATATCTTCTAGGATTCTCCTAGCTTAGAACAAGGATTCTATCCTAAAAGGTTTCTCCCCATGGTATAAATACACCCATCTAGGGTTTGTCTCTGGTAACGCAATCTCAATACTCTAATTTTCTTGCCCACTACTTGAGTCTAAAATTACTTACTAACTTGACTGTTGGAGAGCCTTTGGTCGACACACACTCGCACCTCCGGTCTTATGCTTGCTCATGTTTGTTCTTTACTTTGTAGGTTGCTCAAATTTGTACCTCCACCATCCGCAGCGATGCACATATTTGGTTCCAACAATTGGTGCTTTCATTGAGAGTAAACTCATATTCCTTTTTACCAGATCACCCTACCACTGACATGTTTGCTAAAGAAAGCTCGGTTAACACCAACGTTAACCATGTCGGCAGGGATAACCCGTTGTCCAGATGCATCCGCTGTTCTTAGAATGGATAACTTGTTACCTAACGCCTCTGTTACTCTTGGAACGAGTAACCCATAAGGAGTAACAGCTACACCAAAAAACAATGAAGAACCAGTCAAAAGTCACTCTACTTTCATGGGCATTGAGAAACACATGAAAAATCTGGAAAACTTGAGAGGGACAACCTTTCAAACCCAAATTCCTGTTTTCGGTTATGCGAATATGAGCACTATAACCTTTAAAGGATAACCTATAGTCAGTCACTGTCCCAACTTCATTAAACATCACTGATCTAGGCATGGGTTTCTTATGCGACGAGCAAGTCATTAACTTGACTTCTGTCGGCAAACTCCGAACTTTGCAAGACTCTCTTTCCTTGAACATGACAAGGGTATCGAGAGCAGAGCCTTATGGCCTAGGGTTTGACTAGCCTGAATCCTCTTAAGATCAAGAGCGACGATTTCTCCTAGATAAAGAGAATCCCAAAGGTTGGGTCAGAGATGACCACCTTCGCATCTCTGGTAGACCAATGGTTTGGATCAGAAGCCCAATGTTAAATCATTTTGTGGTAATTTCACCCCGTACTACCATATTATGCATTATCGGAACGTTGTGGCACTATACAACAACAATGATGCATAGATGTGTAAGATGTTTTTGTCCACCCTAGAAGGACTAGTGATGAGATGGTACTCAGAATTGCCAGCGAGGTTAATTGATTTCTTTGAAAGCTTGGTTGACATCTTCACCAACACTTATTCGGTATATCGTAATGTGCGCAAACACCACAGAGCCATGTTCAGAATGATTCCACAATCCAGAAATGAAAGCCTCATGACCTATCTGAAGTGCTTCCGCGTGGAGTTGGCAAATAGAGAAGCCCAATGATAAACTAGCCACCATGGTATTCAAGCAAGGCTTATACGTCCATTCACCTCTTTCTCAGAAGCAGAACAAAATGAAATATGAAAACGCCATTCTAGAAAATGCTTTGATATAACAGACCACCTCACATATTGGAATGATAAGACTAGAAGGATGATGGTCAAACCAGACTATTCCAAAAGGACTGATAAAAGAAGAAGTGATAGAGACACTCATCCTTCTTCCCCATGCCAAGCTAATAGAAGATGTCGAGACAAACAAGCCCCACCCAAGCTAAAGCAGTACATCGCTCTAAACACCACCATCAACAACACCCTCCACAGCATAAAAGATAAACCCTTCATTCGATGCTTAATGCTACTCCCGAAGCATCTAGCGAAGAAGAACCCGAATGAATACTGCTCTTTTCATAAGAGCACTGGTCAAATTACTAGGGGCTGTCGCATGCTAAGGGATTATATAGAAGAATTGCTCAATCAAGGACATTGTTGGGAGTTTGTCAAAGACAAGGCAAGGAAAAAAGTCTCAACTGAACCCAAAGGCAGGGACAGGTTGGATAAGCATACCAATGATAAAGATCAACGTCCAGCAAAAGTCTACTCTTAACATAAACTGCATCTACGAAGGACGCAGAATCTCGGAATACGAGGATTCAAATGAGCGGACTTCGAGAAACCCGATACCCATCACCCTAAGGTGAACCCCCTGTTGACGCCTTCAAATCGAATAGAAAAAGATACCATCCGAACTATATGCAGTTCAATTTCATTCTCGAGATATGTATGTTGTCCATTCCGTACTTAATCGCAACGATGCCGTTTGCCCAAAGACAAATCCTTGAATAACTCATCTCCTAACACTCCATCATAAGCTTATTGTCAAAAGTGTTTCCGACCCACATGTAGGTGACTAGGTCCCCAAAGAACTTTCACCTAAGATTCACAGCCATTCAAGACATCAGACAATAATTCTCTACCCTTAATCCGGTCAATGCAAAAAGGTAAGTGCAAAGCAAGAGGTTTTCCATGGGTTTAGTATTTTAATTCCTAGTACCGAAGTAAGGTGGTACTCCAGATATCACGATGGATCTCTATGGGCACTAAGCTTGGGAGGTAATTTTCTTCTGAATTAACTTAGCCAATGGGGCTTTTGAGCTCTGTTCCTGGCCCACAAGCTTGCTCGTGCTCCGCTGTGTCACTTACCACTTCGTAGTTAGCTTACTTTGGAAGAATTTCTGGATTAAACTATAGTATACGAAGAGAAATCAGATCATGATCATTCAGAAAGACAAACATTGCTTGGAAATTACGCATTAGTAAGGGAAACTCTGGAAGAGCATGAGGCTCGTAAACAAGTAGGAGAAGTTCAAGTTATGAATTGGACGAGCCCCCATATATTCTAGCTGAATAACAAACGGATAAAGAAAATGAAAGAACTTAACAATTACGACTCTTCATCAACAATCGCATTTGCAACACCCCCAAGACTTGCTTGAGGAAGTTCGATAGAAG